AAACACACAAAAAAACAAGGGGCAGCTGAGCACAGGGAATACTGCTGCACAGCTATGAGGGTTAAGACAGATTTACTTATGTAAAGCCAAAGTACACCCTCCAAATAGGATAAAAATAAATAAATAAATAACTCAAAAAGAAGCACTACACTGGAAGTCAAGACCTCCAGTTTTTATTGGACTCAATGGAATGGAGATGTTAGTCCTACTCCTTCCACATGTTAGATGGAGGGAATTTTTGCCCTGGGATAGCCAGATTGGGCCTATTATTTTAGGGGGAGCTCCATTGACTACAGATTGGTGGGATCCTGCTTGTATGTCATGAACCATGTGTGAATGTCAGCAATCTGGGATGTGATCCCTTATCAACATCTGAGCCATGATTCTTGACCACTATGCTTCCTAACTCTACACTTAGTTCCCATAAATATTTACCTGTGTTCTCTGGTGATTTTTGTCGGGGTTTTGACTACTAAGGTAACTGAGTCATGTTCATTTAAAAGTTGGTTTATGTTGGGGTTAACAATGAGGATAACCATGTTAGGACTAGGCACCTTCCCCCCTTGCAGATGGCTTACCTTTATCTCCCCAGATAGATGCCAAGGACAGTTGGGTAGACAGTGACCTAACTACAACTCATCTTTCTTGGTTGCCCAGCAACAATATCCCTTAGTGACCTTCCTGGTACTTTTCCACTAGCCCCCTATATCTAGCCCAAGCCTGAGTATGGTAATGGGCTCTAGCTCTTTTGCTGGGGTCTCCCTCCACAGGGCTCCTGCCTAAACAATACACCCTGTACTGGTATTTGAGCCATCTCTCTGCCTCTTCCATGCCTCTTATTTTCTAACAGTTTATATAAAACTTTCAAGATGACCTCATGGCTAAACAACTGTTGTCTTGGGTGATTCTAATACAGTTGGTACCTTATATGTGTCTGTGATTGAGCTATTTGGGCTTACTAAAACTTTTCTTTCCCCCAACTCATGAAAAAAAAAATCTAAGGTTTTACTGCAAGAACAACAACTAAACTAATAGGTATATATAACCTCTATAGAGCTGTGATGCTGTTGCTGGTTCCTATCTATTAAATGTATTTATGTTTTTCAAATATACCAAGCCTTCTAAAATACAAAATTTAGATAGACATGGTAACAAAAGGTTAATGGTATTGATATACTGTTCTGTTAGTTGCTAAACAGTCCATCAAAATTTTAACCATGATTCATAAGTTTTTGTCATTACAGTTCTGATCCTTCTGGGGCATTTACAATCAAGTCCATAAAAAATGACCTTAATAACTACTTATGTGTCAACCGGGTTAGCTTTTTAGACATCTGCTTTTGTTAGATTTTGTTTTGTATTGTCCTTGTCTAGAAGGCCGCTGTCTAAAAGCCACTCCGTCTAAGCCTCTTTGTTGCTTAAATTTGGCCAAATGGGTTTAGCTGGCACTGACTCCCACCTGATCTGCTCCTTATTTCCCCTCCGACGTGCGACCAAAACCAACCAACCAAACAAAATCCAGGAAAAAGCAACCAATCAAGAAAGATCTTCAGTCTACAGCCATACCACCCTGAATGTGCCCAATCTCATCTGATCTCAGAAGCTAAGCAGGGTCGGGCTTGGTTAGTACTTGGATGGGAGACAGATCTTCAGAAGAGACTGCTCAGAGACAAGCAATGTGAAGACAAAGGGGGGAATACCATTAAAGTTCCAATGGAGTCAGACCTCTCAAAAATAACCAAGGCTGAGAGGATTAAGGAAATGATTCTTATGCATGTGTGGCTATCTGGCATTAAAGCCCTTCTAGACACAAACTCATATTTTTAGACAGGGTCTTCTACTTAAATAGAGACAAAGTAACTATTTTTACTGGCTCTAAACATGTCTTTTGATACTTAAAGATGGTAGTTTTAACTTTTTTAAACCAGTTTTCTTGGACATATATATTATATATTGTTGCCAAGGTAATTCTACTCAGCTAAAAAAAAGTACTGTCTGGATAAAAAATAAAATAAAATATCCAACCATTAAAACCCCATTGGAGGGGCCCTTTTGTTGTTATTTTGTCTACTCCCACTGCACTTAAAGTAGCAGAGATTGCTCCTTGGACCCACCATAGTCGAGTCAAACTAGCTTCTCTTGAGTGGGAGTGCATCCCTGATCCGGCTTCACCATGCAGGATCACCCTCCAGAACCCGAGTACCCTTCCTCAGCAAGACTCCACTTACCAGGAAACTTCTCTAGTCACCCCCCAGAAGCTGACTAGTCAACACAAGGCAGAAGTTTGAAGAATCGACTCTCCAACGGGACAGCCAGACTGTTTTGACACCAGTTGTCTCACTGTGATGCATTGTCACCCCTTGTTTGTATCTGTAGCTGTAATTCTCACCATAATCTTTGCCATAGGTTTGGCAGAAACCACCCCCCCCCACTGGTTGGACTCATGATGAAAGGTTTTTATTCGCTCTCTTCTATCTCTTTTGGAAAGGATGCATAATTACTGTTTATTGTTTCTGATGTGATTTCCCTTCATGGCCTCAGGGCCCTCCTCCTGTGACCTATGTGTGCATACTACTTGGGCAGGAAGTGTTGTCACTAGGACTTTGCTCTTCCATACTTACTATCCTTGTGCAGGCTCTGTCGTTGGGTCATGCACTCACAACCATACCATCTATTCAGTGTGTTCCCATGGTAATCAGCGTATCTGCTTCAACTCCACTTACCGCCCTTGGGAACTTGGGCAGGAAGTGTTGTATAGGACTTTGCTCTTCATACTTATATCCTTGTGCAGGTCTGTCGTTGGGTCCATGCACTCACAACCATACCATCTATTCAGTGTGTTCCCATGGTAATCAGCGTATCTGCTTCAACTCCACTTACCGCCCTTGGGAGCAATGGTTAGAGATCAGGAGCGTCCGCAATCCTGGAAACCTTGTTATCCACACCCAGGTGTTTAGCCCTGACAAACCAGTGTCAATGCTCTTTGACACAGGTGCAGCCATAGACAAAGGCAGGTGTGGAGGTAGAGGCTGTGGCTGTGGGGGCCTAATGTGGGAAAAAGCCTATACATCAAATGATGTATATGTGCCGGGGAGACAACTCTCGATCATGTGATGATGTGGGTTCTTATTATTGTCCTTATTGAAGTTTTGTTTCATGGGCCACATGGCAGAGGGCTAAGCATGCAGTCCTCCTTCACAAGGGTGCCCATGACTGCACCCATGGCACCTGTAACCCTGTAAATTTCACTATACTTAAGCCATCTGATTGGACATGGGGACATATAATTGACATAAGGATAGATCAAAAAGGACTTGACCCTGGAAGTCTGATGTACCTCAAAGTAATAACTGCTAAAATTTAACCTAAACAACTGCTGCTTACAAATTAATGATAAAATAAAAAAAAGGTTATGAAAGAGATCACAGACAGAATGAAAAAGCTTGCCCATGTCCCCATCCAGACTTGGAGAAAATAGGATCCCAGTGACCTGTTTGGAGGATGGTTTTCAAAACTCTGATAGGGGCAATAGGGCTAATTCTAGGAGTATGCTTAATACTGCCCTGTCTGCCTCCCCTGAGGCTATGGTCTATCAGGACCGTTATGGGAGGCCATTATAGAAAGAAAAATAGCCACACATGTAATGATGCTATAAAAATACAAACCCCTAGATCAAGGTGATGCTCTTTGACCCATTTGTCTTCATTTGTCAAATGTCTCCATTTGACATGTGCAAAAACTGAGACTCAGCCAGGTGAGGAACCCCTATGCATCACAGGTTCACATCCAAATCTCGCTGGCTTGTGGTCAGCTTTCCAGTGGGCCAGGGGTTGTTGGACTGGTGAATGTTGAGAGGTAAGGCGGAAAACAATTACTGTACTACCAGAGGAAGGCATGTGACAGCTCCCAGCCAGCAACGGATGACCTGTTCTTAGGGACACCTGGCCTGGTTCTGTCTGTCATCCATCATCCTGGTCATCCACAGACTGGTTTGCTCAACCAGTTTAGATAGAGCTTGCTGGGGAATTCTGAGCTACTTTTGAAAGCAGAGACTTCTCTTATGTGACATCATCAATACCTGAGCTTGCTCATAAAAATGACCAGATTGTAAAAATCATGAGGGTTGACCAGGTAATTAGCTGGGGACAGCTATTTACCCTTTCTGAGAACAGTGGAGGTTGTTAAAAATGCAAAACACCTCAAAGAAGATTCAGGAGACCACCGTAAAATCACACTCTTCAGGGCCTCAGTTTTCCCAACTGTCAGACAAAATCTCCAGTAGTTACCTTCCCTGGAGGGCCTGAAGACTTTCCAGCTCCTACTCAAAGCTTGTGTTTCCCCCCATAGTGGATGAAGAATCTGGAGTTAGGCATGGAAGAGGAAAATTACCTCCCGGTTATGGTGGCCAAAGAGTCCTAACCAGCTCAAGACCAGGGAATGTTATTTTTGTGTGGATTTTGCCTCTTTAGCAGAAAGGAACATAAGGACAATTTTGGAATATTTATTCTGACATTACTCAGCTATGTACAAAACATGCTACTGGGCAAGGAAGGTGAAGGCTGAGGCACTGACTGGGATGCCTGTAGTGTTTCTGCCTCGGTGGCTCATCCCCACAGGTAGGTGGACTGAGCGGGAGGGACCAAGTCCTTGCTCTCCAGCGGCTGAACTAGGTTAGAGCCTCTGGGTCTGGGCAATTATGGTCTCTCTTTGTGCCTCAGTGTCTATTTTTAAAAGGACACAAGAGGTGCAAGGTCTACAGATCGCCAGTCCCATGCACTGTTGTCGTCAGTCACTGTTTAAGTGAGGAAGGGCACACGGGAGAGTTCTGGCTCTTGTCATCCACTATCTCTCTGCGTTCCAAAGCACCATGCAGTTTACAGAAGTTCCCCTAACTGGATTCAGGGTCTCTTCCTCTTGAACCTTCCACTCCACACCGTCCTGATGCCAAGGGTACCCCGGCGGCTGGGGCCAGGAGGGGCTGGCTGCTCGGATGGATAGCGCTAGTCGCGGACCAGCGCGTACTCCTTGGGCGCCCAGAGCAGGCGCGGGCGGTGGACCTCGGGCCGCCAGCCGATCTCCGGGGACCAGCAGAACTCGGGCGACAGCACTTTGGCTGGCTTGTGTAGCCAGAAGAACTTGTTGAGGTGGCTCTCGTCGTGCCAGCGCGCCTCGAGGCCGAGCGCGCGGTCCCGCTGCAGGCCGCGCGTACAGTGCGCCGTCAGCCTGCGCAGGGCCGCCACGCTGCCCCCGAACACGGCCGCGTGGTAGTAGAAGTCGCCCTCGCTCCGCGACAGCGCGGCGGCCGAGCGCACGTCGCGCTCATAGGGCAGGAACCACCGCGGCCAGCGGTAGTGCCAGGCGTGCAGCTGCGCCACGGAGTCGGCCAGCGTTTCGGGCCCAAAGGCGTTGCTGAAGTGCTGGTCCACGTCCATGCAGAACACGAAATGCGCCTCGCGGCCCAGCCGCCCGCCCAGCGCCGCGTGCAGCGTGCGCATGCGCGCCATGGACACGTCCTGCCAGCGCCGCTCCTGAACCACGCGCTCCACGCGCAGCCGGCGGCCCCGACCCAGCGCCACCTGGGGCACGGCGGCCGGCCGCTCGGTGAACACGTAGTACACCACGTGCTGGCCCACCATGAAGTGCTGTTCCGCCGACTCTAGGAAGCGCGCCAGGTACTTCTCCAGGTACCTGCCGGGCCAGCGGGCGCGTGCGCCAAAGTCAGCTTGGGTGCACCTCCCCCTTCCCACAGACCGCCTCTCCCCTCCCCACGCACCGCTCCAACCGCGGTCATGCGGGGGCTTCCCAGCCCTACCCGCACCAGTCCAGTCAATACAACTCCAAACCCGCAATCCCACAATTTCTCGGCCTTGGGGTTGGCAGATTAAGGATACTTGCAAGTTGTTTGCCCTGAAGGTATGGATGGGGTTGGGGGGGGGGGAGCGCTTATGCGCTTTCCATGCTGTGGGCTTCCCGGACTGCTCTGATCCAACAGTACCAAGGAAGTGATGCTGGGCTGGCCCTTGGGGGGCTGATAGCCTTCCCCTCTTTTTCGCTCTGAGCCTTCCGGTAAGAGGTCCCAGAACCTGATGCTGCCATGATGTGAGGAAGCCCAAGCCAGCTGTGAAGAGAGCCTTCCTGGAGCAAGAGGCGCCCATAGGTCTTCGGCTCTTGGTCTCCCAGTTGAGACCCCGACATTTGGGAGCAGTGAGGAGCCCCTCCTACTGAGCTCTGTCCAAATTCCTGGCCCACAACCGTGGGCTAGAAGAAGAATCAATTGTTTTAAATCATTGAGTTTGCATAGATAACAAGAGTGCTTGGAATACTGGAAACTTAGTATCCTTAGTTGACAGGAGATACTAGAGCTTCAAAATAGTAATAATCCAAAATAATAGTATTTTGAACATTTATCACGTGGCAGATACTTCTGAGTCAACAGGCATTGTCTCTTTCAAAGAGCTCTAGCACCTCGGGGGTGGCTGAAGTGGTAGATTGCTTGCTTAGCATGTTTGAGGCCCTGAGTTCAATCAATACCCAATACCTAAATAAATAAATAAATAACTAAGCTCTAGCAACTTGTACAGGTAAATACCATTGGTAAATGGTAGAGTAGGATTGGAGCCCAGATTGGCACACTGGAATCTACCTTGCTCTGTTCCTGGTGGACATGCTGGAAGGGAATCAGAGATTGTAGAATCCTTACCATCCCATGGGGTGAGAGTCAATCTTGGAACACAGGACCTTGGGGTCCTGGAATTTCAGTTCCTTGAGTCTCTGGCCTTGGGGCTAGTGCTGGAGCAGTCTGCTCAGCCTCTTTAATAGGGAGGTCCAGGGAGAGGCCACGGTCTCAAGTGGTGCAGCAGTTCTCCATGGCTCAGCCCTTGTTCCTGTTTTCCACCTTGCCTCTCAGTGACCCTCCTCGCTTTCTCTGCCTTCTAGAATATGGGGGATGGAGCTAAAGGAAACTTGAGCAGTTGCCTGGGGTATTTGGTGACAAAAGTCTTTGCCCATCCTGTAGCTTCCTGGATGGGAAGCTCTCGCTCGTTCTACTGCAGCCTGTCCCAGCATTACCGATGCCCTCTTTATTATCCTAGACTTGACCTTAGCGTGCCCTGGGGTCATATGCCTGACTGCCACTCTTACCAGGAGGAGTCCCCTCTGCATCATTTCTGTAAAGGTGTACACCTGTCCTGATATCCCCCTCCCATCCATAACTGGGAGGTCAGAGCACCTGCCATTTCTTCTCTACCCACCCATCCCGGTTCCTTCTCCACAACTGGAGGCCCACTGCCTGGGCCTTTGTTCCTTGACCAACATCCTCTTCAGCAGTGATTCTGTCCCCCACCCTCCTCAGTCACTAGTTTCTATGGTTACCCCTTGACTCGGTCATCATCAGTGTCCTACTTCCAAACTGCCACCTCACCAGGCCATGGTATGAATCCCTCATTCTTCCAGTTTACATACTCTAATCTCTCCCCTCTCAACAGTTCTGCCTCTCTGAGCCCTCTGTCACTTCTCAGTATCTGCTAGGCAGGAGCCTTTTTATTTTTTCCAGTGGTACTGGGGTTTGAACTCAGGGCCTCACGCTTATTAGCAGGCACTCTTACCGCTTGAGCCGCTACACCAGCCCTACTTCTCTGTAGGACTGTGGTAGTATTTGCCACCCCCTGCTCTCTCCACATCCCTCTTTGGCCAGCATGGGCGAGGCCCCTCAGTTCCCTGCCTCTTTCCTTCCATCAGGCTTCCCTGGCAATACCTCACCACCCCCAGCTTTGTCTATAGCTGACCTCTGGCAGACTCCTTACTCCTTCTGTCGCTCTCCCCTTCTTCTTCCCATGCACCTGAAACAGTCCATTATTTCCTTACCACAAACCCAGTGCCTCTTCGTGGATCAGCCCTAAGCCCTAGGCAGATCCCTCCTGGGACATAGTTCTGAGCCTCTGGCTGCCTATTTGGGGAGGGCTGTATAGCACTGGTATGCGGAGGAGGGGAAGAGAGAGGGTGCTCCTGGGACAAGGGGTGCAGCCCCTAGCTGCACGTTAGGATCCCATGACTGGGGAACAGGACATCCTTACACACATGTACTCCCATCCCACAACTTGCCTGGACAGCACTACTCCCCGTCCCAGGCCTTACCTGCCTACAGCAAAGACAGTCAGCCCAATGGTGAGGTTCTGCTGTCCAGCCACTTGTTGGGCTATATGGGTGGGGGATAAGAGGAGGGCAGGGGCCTGGGAAGAGCCCTGTAGGTTTGTGGGTATTCTCAGAGTGGGAGGGATAGTAGCTCCTTACCAGGGATGCAGGACACCCGTAAAGTTGTCTCTCAGCAGGGACATTATGGCTGAAGGGCAGACGCCCATGGGGATGTATATTTCCAGATACCTGTAGAGTGGAGCAGCAGTAAAGGGGTATGTCACCTGCTCAGGAGGGAAAGCACTTGCCCAGGCTGAGCCATCACCCACCCTTCATCCCTAGAGGAGGCAGCTGGAAAGATCCACTTTACCCTGGACCTGGTGATCCCCACCCCTGGTGCTGAGGGAAGGGGTTTGTACCTGATCCTAGGAAGCCCATACAGGAACAGGCCTAAGAGGCCAAGTGCAAGTAGGATCAGCCGCCAGATGATTCTCTTGGTCCTGGAGGAAAGGGTGTCAGTGACTCATTTACACACACACACACACACACACACACACACACACACACACACACACGAGAAATCATTGCCTGATTTTAATGCTTCATTTTTAAAACATTTGTTTGAATATGAATTTGTTCTTTTCATATGGAACAGACATTCAAAGGGATGCAAGTCATAGTCCCTCCTCTTCCTCTGTGTGGCAGTGGCCAGTGCTACCAGTTGCTTCCATGTCCTTCAGAGGAGGTGTGCACACAGACATGCACAGGCAGAAGTGACAGCAAGCACTCCCTTTCTTTAGTTCCCCTATACAGATGGCAGCACAGTGGACATGTTTTGCACCTTGCAGGTTTTGCTGACCATTATATCTTTGAGGCAAAATATTTCATCTCATTGCTTAGAGACTACTTTTTTTTGTTTGTTTGTTTTTGGTTTTTTTTTTGCAGTGCTGGGAAAGGGACCCAGAGACTCCAACATGCTAGGCATGTGCTGTACCCCTGGGCTACATTCACAGCCCATCTCATTACTTAAAGAACCTCCCTCCTAGGGGAAAGATTCCAACATAAATTAGAATAGAAAAGCTGCAGCAAGTGCAGACTCTGAGTTCACTTCCCTAGTACCACTGGGTGGGGAAAGCAAAGTCTGCATGCATCGAGAAGGAAATTTCATAATGCAAATTTCATGATGTGAATGTTTACATTAAAACTTTTGTTAGAATGTGAAGGAAAAAAAAATAAAACCTCCCTCCTGGGCTGGGTACGGTGGTTTATGCCTCTAATCCCAGCTACTCAGGAGGCAGAGAGAGGAGAATTACAATTTGAGGCCAGCCCAGGCAAAAAGTTAGTGAGACCTTATCTCAAAAATAATCGAGATCTGGGCACTGGAGTCTCACTTTTGTAATCCTAGCTACTCCGGAGGCTGAGATCAGGAGGATCATGGTTCAAACCCAGCAGGGCAAATAGTTTACAAGACCTTATCTCAGAAATACCCAGCACAAGTGGTAGAGTGCCTGACTAGAAAGTGTAAGGCCCTGAGTTCAAACTCCAGTACCACTCCCCCACCCCCGCCCAAGAGAAGAAGCCAAGTATGGTGGCGCATGCCTGCAGTCAGTCCCAGCAACTTGGGAGGTGGAGGTAGAATGATCAAGGCCTAAGGACAGTCTGGGTAAAGTTAGCTTGAGACTCTATCTGAAAAGCAAACAAAGCAAAAGGACTGGGGCATGGCTTAAGTGGTAGAGTGCTCGCATATTAGGCTCAAGGCCTTGAGTTCAATCCCCAGTATCGTAACAAAAAGAATCTTCTCCTCTTGTCAGGCTGCCTCATGTCATGGTTGGAGAGAGACTACTTTACTAACCAGGACTGTTCAAGGAGCACTGAATCTGTCCTTTCCTTTAGACAGCATTGTTGCAGGGCATGGCCTGACCAGGCTTGGAGGACAGGAACAGTCAGAGTTCGAGTAGGGTGAGACTGACCTTGGGCAGGAGAATAGGCCAGAAGAGGACACAAGGGAGTTGGTGGCAGGGAGTAAAGAGCTGCCTGGGACCTAGCAATGAGTTGTTGGGCTAGTTATATAGTCAGAGGCCACATCTCTGGCAACACAATCCAGCATGGGCAGGACTTCCTTCCATAGAGCTCAGTGGCCCCATTCCTGGCTTAGAGGAGGTGGGAGTTGGGATTTGCCCATGGTTGATTGTTTTCCAAGAATGCTGAGACTCTTCCGGAAACCCTTCATAAGGAGCACAGACACTGGGGCCAGGTCCCCAGGTTTCAATACCAATTCTACCAATTTTTAGCTGTCTGCCCAAAGGCAGGGCTGGGCCTGCTGCATGTGGCATTCTTAGAATACTGTCCTCAGAGGACTGTCCTGTACTTTGAGTTAATGTAAGCTAAGTGACTAGAACAAGGTCTGACACACTGTAGTCACTCACTGAACTTCAGTGTTGGCAATGCTGATCCTTCTTCCTCACAAAGCATCACCACCCCAGGCAATTTCCTGGCTCCACTCCCTGTCCTACAGTTCTTCCAAACACTGGCTTTTCTGGGCCCTTTCAAGAGACTGCTAGTGTCAGAGCCTCCTGTCCTGTCAGTTCTCTTATTCCCACTTAACTACTCCATGCCAGGTATGTGTAGGAGTAGCTGTGAGGACCACCTTGCAGTCCGGTTTGTGTATGTGTGCCTCACTCCTCTGGGTACCCCTTCTACTCCCAGCACACGCCACCTCTTTCTCTGCAGCTGACCAAACCAGAAACCTGCATGCAGCCCAGCCCTTCCCTCTCCTGCACCCAATGTGCCATCGTGCCATCGTCTCCAGGCTGGGTTGACTTGGTCTCCTTGTCTCTGCCCCTCCTGTTCGTATAGCAGCCTCTATGGTGACCCTGGCCTGCTCATCTCTCCCAGACTATTAGAGCAGCTCCCTCCCAGATTCCAGAGTCATCTCATAAATAATGTCAGCCTCCCTTAACAGTGACTGCATCACACCAACAGGTAAATCTGCAAGGAAGAAATGCATTAGTAGGCAAACATATGGAAAAATGTTCACCTTCACAAGTAACCAAAGACATACAAATTAGAACAAAGTGACAGGTTTTGCTTATAAAATGAGCACTTTTTAAAAAGGGTATAATGAAAATAGCCAAGCTGCCAGCCTACAGTGAGACAGGCACTCTTAAGCTTGCTGGTGGGAGTAGAAGTTGTTCTGGCCTTTGGAGAGCCACTTAGCCATGGGATCTGAACCCTTTTAATACTCATTCCCTTTTGTCACAGCCCCAGCTGCTGGGAATCTGTTCAAAGGAGATAGCCTTCAGTATGGACAAAGTTTATGCATCAAGATATTTATAGGTATGTGTTTGCTCATGCATTCAGCACATATGTTTTGGGTCCAAGAGTAAGACCAAGCCCTGTGCTAGGTCACAGGGCTAGGATGTAGAGGTGATGAAACAGATCCCATTTTCAGTGTATGAAGTCAGAAAGATGTGGATGTGGAGGGGGAGAGGGAGTGAGAGAATGTGTCACATGACAGACCAGCGCACTACACAATATATGCTGTGAGTAGGATATGTAGAGGTGCTTTGAGGACAAGTTGGAGGGTAGGAAGGAAGAAAGGAGGCTTCCTGGAGAAGGTGACCTGTAAGCTAGGGTTTGAAGAATTAGAAGTTACTCAGGTCAAGTAGGCAGGGAAGGGCGAAGGGAACCCATGACAAGGAAATACCCATGAGCCCTGTGAGAGGTAGAAAAACCTTGGCAGGCAGGTAAAGCTGCAAGTTGTTCCGCAAGGTGGAGGTAGAGCACAGGTGGGGAGTGTTGAGAGCTGAGGCTGCAGAGGCCAAAGGGGTCGGGTCTTCAGGGCCTGCACTCCAGCCCAGGCCCTTGGACTTCGTCTTGAGGGTCATGGGGTGTCAGATTTTTATTAAAAACAAAAAAAGTGCATGAACTGAATTATTGAGCCTGGACATGGCAGCTGGGAGGGTGATGTGGCTGGAGGCAGGAAGATGAATTAAGAGATCAGAGTGCCAGCCAGAGCTACTGGGTGCATAAGACAGGGCATTGCAGCTGGGTGGGGAGGAGTAGGTGAAGGGCTGACAAATGAGAGGGAGCAGAAGCTGTGTTCTTGCCGATTGGGGTAGGGGCTGGAGCCCAGCAGGAAGGCAGGCTCAGGAGAGGGTTCTGGAACTTCCCAGCCCACCCAGGCCTTGTTACTTGTTATGGAGGAGAGCACAGAGGAAGAGGAGACTGGGAAAAGCGGGGAGACTGGCTGGCAGTGTAAGCGGGAGGTACTGTGTGTGCGCGCCTGCGTATGGGCGTGTGTGAATGACTTCCCAGAAGCTGGGCTGGGAGGAGGAAAACACCTGGAGGGATGAAAGGTTGATGGAAGCCTGTTTCTTTGACACTGTGAGGAGACCAGCTTGGCTGGCTGCTGCCTGGAAAGCACCAATAGAGAGGTGTTTGAAGTCACAGGACAGGCATTGTCTGAACAGATGAGGCAACTGCTAAAGACCCCAGTGTCCAGTGAGAGGGACTGACGCAAGAAACTTGTCATGAAGACTCTGAAGTCACATGGAAAAATGCTTACACAGGAGCGTGAAAGGGAAAAAGAGGATCTGAAGTGACGTGTACCATGACAAGTTAGCAGGATAAAGCACACGTCTTCACAAGAGCAAACAGGACAACTTATTTGCATAATACAATTATAGTAGAGTTTCCCCTTTGCTTTTCTCCTTAGTTGCACTTATATTGCTTTTGTAATGAATGAATAATACAGTTAGCAGTTTGCAACAAGGAAAGATTATTTTATGATTTCCTGCTGGCTGTGGACTTTGGCTGAAGTGCAAAGGAGGCTTCTCAACATGGCTCCTCCTTTGCTGCATTTCAGTGCTCACTCCCCATCTCCCTTCCTGCCTGTGGACACTCCGCAGTGGACAGTCCAAGGATGGTCTAGCATTGCTTGCCAAAGCAAACAGTGTTTGCTAATGAGTGAATGATGAGTATGTATAGGATGCAGTCAACATGGCCACTCAAAAGCGTGATGTATGTGCTGCAGAGACTGTAATGTGTGAAGTGCAGAAGGAGTAGCAGAATGCGTGCAAAGGCAGATCTCACTTCTGTGATAGAAGGCCCTCCACCTGTGTCCATGCTTACAGACATGTGTATCCATGTTCCATAAATGTGTAAGAGGAGCGCTAACAGAGAGCATATGTGAGCCACACAGGTCACTTAAAATTTTATACTAGCTACATTAAAAAAGCAGAAGAAAAATGTGAAATTAATTTTAACAAGATTTTTACTCAACCCAACATATCCAAAATATCATTTCAACATGTAATGAATATAAAAATAGAAATATTTTCCATTGTTGTTTTATTCTAAGTCTAAATACTAAGGCCAGTGTGGATTTTAGAGTTAGAGTACACTTCAGGGGCCCAGTAGCCACACATGGCTGGTGACCATTCATTCTATATCGGACAGCGTGGATTTAGAGGGAGACACATTGCATTGGTGGTGGGTTGAGATTGGAGGGAGGGGACTGCAGCCTTTTACTCCATGCTCTTCTGTTATGTTCAACTTTGCACAGTGGTCATGTGTTCCTTCTGTTAACCAATGTGTAACTTTTGTTACATACAGATCCTGCCGTGCTCCTAGCTTCCCCTTATGTTCTGCCTTCCAGCATGCCTCCCATGCCCAGAGCCCAGGGCACCTGAGGGCATTGGTACCGCCTGACCTCCCTATTTGAGTGTCTCACAAGTGTCTCAAACACATGTGCCCAACATGGAACTCTCATTTTCCTCGGAAACCTGCTCCCCACTTGCAGTCTTCTACATCTTGGCACATGGCATTGCAACCATTTCTCTGCCCCTTTTCTCAAATACCTCAGAGTTCCTCCCCGCCCCGCCATCCAGTCCTCCTGCAAAGCTTTGGGCCTTCCCTCACCAACACATCCAGTCCCTTTACCCACCTTCTCCTCCTATCATTCCACCCCAGACCATTGTGCCCTCAGCCGACAACCACCCTAGCTGCCTCAGCAACCGCCCTGTTTCTCCTCTTAGCCCTGCAATCCACTCTCCAGAATGATCTTTCAAAAATTAAGTGAGGACATACTCTGTCCCTCTCCAAGGCCTCCTGATGACTTCTCACTGCTCTCAGAATAAATCCACATCCTGGATTCTGGCCCCTAAGCTCCATGCTTCTGGTCCTTCCCCTCACATCTCATCTGTCACTCTTGCTTGGTCTGTGGTTTTCAGAGCCCCTCTGCAAGTTTCCTGCTACCTTGTCTTCCCATCCTGTTGGCATTCCATCTTGGCTTCTCCCTGCCAGTAACTCCAGCCCAGCCCTCTTGCTGAACACTGGTCTCAGGAATCATGTGTCCCCTGGGTGACCATGTCTGCCTGGGTGCCCCACAGACACCTTAAACTCAGTCTCTTGAGCTGCACTTTGCATTTCCCTCACTTGTCCCTTCCTTCTATTGTCTGCCTGACCAGAGTGGGATCCCTTACTCCCTTGTGTGACAGCAGCTCAGTGTCCAACTTCTATTGCTTCTGCCTCCTTCTTAGTTCTGAGATTCCCTTCCTGCCCACTCCTGCCATCCTATTTGTGTCTCACTTCTGGATTCCTATAAATCAATACCCCAGGCTGCACCCAGGCTCCATCCCTCACCCTCTACTATGAAGTTTCCTAAGCATCCCCCAAGACTTTGTGTCTCCCCATCTTTCTCCAGACCACTTTTCTCATCCTGTAGTAATCATTCCTTAATTCCTAGCTCCTTGATGTGTTCCCTCCCCTCCCCAGTATGCTCCTCTGTAACTTCACCAAACCTCCCTTCTAGCCCTTGCTGAATGAGGTGACTATCATCCCCTCCCCCACCACACCATGAATTTCTTTTAATTAGACTTTGTAGTCTTGGTGCCGAATCCCAGAGCCTGCCCCATAACTGATGGTATTAGTAATTATTTGTTCAGAAGGGAATGGAGCAATGAACGGGCTCTTTGTCTCCATTCTCTTTCCCAAACTTAAAACTATTTCCTCCAGAAGTAAATCTGTGCGCATCAATAATCCTAGACAGTGAGCCAGATACTCCAGTGTTTCATGTACTGTCTTGCTGAAGTTTGACCACAACCCCCTGAAGGAGGAGCCTGAGGCTTGGCAAGGTTAGGCCACTTGCTCAGGGTCACACAACAGGTGGGACTGACTGTGAAACAGGGCCTTGAGTGTGGCATTTGGGCTCCTTAGGACCTGTCCCAACCCAACCCCAGGTTCCTCTCATAAGGGTCCCTGGCTCCTCTGATTGACCTCTTATTTCCAGCCAGTTTGGCTCCTGCAGGAAGCCTTTCTTTCCCCTGCAACCCACTCTGAATCCTGGAGGCTGGCTACAACTCTGTTTTTCTGGCTCCTAGAACCCTGTCCTAGTATTGGCAGCTGACAAGATTGGCCATGATGCAGGGGTAGAGAAAGGGTTCTCTTTCTGCTCTAGTGGCTGTCCCCACTTTTTTAGCCAGTTCCCCTTCCCCTGTGCCCCACCCCAAACACACACACACACACACACACACACACACCAGGTAGGGCAAGCCGATGTTTATCTTGGGCACCCAGCCACAGCCATGGCAGCCAGGCCTGGTGAGCCCAAACAGCCAGGTCAGGGAGGGTGCTGGGACCCAAACTTGGGTTAGGGACCCACCAGCTCTTCCTGCCCCTCCAATACCTTAGTCTGGAGCCCTTCCTTATCCATGGAGGCGCCTGCCCGATCCACTCCTCCACCTTGGTCAGATATTTGCCAAAGGATTTTTCACTCCAGCGAGAGTGGCCCCTCAAACCCCACCCATACCCTGTTCCCCTTACCCTGCTTTCAAGGGTAGAGACCAGCCATTAGTCCTTAAGGAGGAACAGGTTTCCTGTTGTAGACAAGCGGGGGTGGGGGGGGGACGACAAAGGAAGAGGAATTATCCAGCTTCTAACCCTGCCATCCAGCCTATGGGCTGTCTCTTACCGAAGCCACCTTCTCCCAGGACCTTTGGCTCAGCTGCTCCCTTTTATTCTGGCACCAAACTGGACCCCTCTTGGGTCAGTGGCCCTGCCTCTTACCTCCACCTGGTATTGTCCCCACTCACCTGAGTCCCTCCTTCAGAGCCATAGAGAGAAGCCAGTGGGACAGCCTACCTCCAACTTTCTCAACCTAGAGCCAGGGAAGAAATGACCTGCTCCAAGGACCGGGACTGGACAGGGACAATGTATCTCCTTCCTGCCCCTCAGCCTCAGGAACCACACCCACTGAGGCAATCAGGGATGGGCTGCCCTGAGAGGGACCTGCTTGGGGGTGGGGCCTACTGGAGGAAACTGGCCCCAGGGTAGTGTGAGGGCTGGCAAGTCTCCTGGAGCAAATCACCTAGAAGAGGGTGGATCTGGCTCTAGTTGGCTGAGAGCTGAGCTATATTGACTTCTCTTCACTCCCTAGGGGTCCTGGGAGACCCTCTTCAGTGTCTGTTCCTGGGAGAGGCTGGGGTCACAGTATGTTTTTCCCATGCAGGAAGAGTCCTATTCTACTGCTGAAGCCCCAGCTAGAGCTAAAGGGTACTATAACCTCAGGCAATGCATTCCCCTTGGAGCTCTTTACCTGAAGTGGGGTACATAAGCCAATCACCCAGAACAGCGTGAGTCAGGTTAAGATCAGGGCTAGGGAATAGTTTTGTGAAGCTGACTCTGGCAGTGTTTTTTTTTTTTTTTTGTGGTACTGGGGCTAGAACTCAGGGCCTACACCTTGAGCAACTCTACCAGCCCTTTTTTTTGGGATGGGTTTTTTGAGATAGGGTCTCATGGACTATTTGCCCGGACTGGCTTTGAACTGTGATCCTCCTGATCTCTGCCTCATGAGCAGCTAGGATTACAGGTGTGAGCCACCAATGCCCGGATTATTTTACTTTTTGACAGTGCTGGCGTTTGAACTCAGGGCCCCATGCTTACTAGGCAGGCACTCTACTAGTTGAGCCATTCCGCTAGCCCTCTGGCAGTGTTTTTTAAAAGGGCAAGTTGTGTCCCATTAGAGGTGCAGAAGTCAAGTTTAGTGAATGGTGATCAAGATTTTTTTTTTTGGTAGTACTGGGGTTTGAACTCACGGTCTAACATGTTTGCTAGGCAGGCGTTCTTACCACTTTAGACACTTTGCCAACCCCAGTGATCAAGATTTTAAAAGTAGGAGTGGAAAGAATTGAAAAGACATTATCAGAATATACTACATGAAATTTTGATGTTTTATAAACACGTCTTTACATGTATGTAAATGCATACTATTAAGTGTGTACATACATATTTCCAAGGTTGGGAAATATTTTTAAAAACTGTTGGTCATGACCAATGTGGAATTCTGTGTAAAATGTAAACAGGAACAAATATGTATTTAAGGACATGTCCTTCAAATTTCCAAGAGGCTGGGCCTTTCATCTGAAGAACAGCAAAACTTAACTGTCCAAGGCATTCCACTCATGTTCACCCTGCACTGCACACTTCCATCACACACATAAAAATAAACTCCTCAGGGCCTGGTTTTCATTTTTTCTCATAAAAGAAAAACTGAGGTCCAGAGGGTGAGTGTGTAGGCCCACAGAGGGCCTGCATTCCTCAGTCCAAAGGAGGTCCTTTGCTTGAGGGGGTCCCCAGGGCTCACTCTCCATTCCGGTAACCACTCCATCTCCTGGGCTTTCCTACTTCCCTGGATGTTCCCTGCCTCTTGGGACACCAGGCTTTCTAGGCCCTGGTCCCACTGCAGGCCAACCAGTTTGTTTTTCCTCCTCCTCCAGTAAGCAGTTACATCTTAACAGATTCTCCAGGGAGAAGTTACCAAGCTAGGGGTATTGGTTCTTAAAAATTATCTTGCCTAATCTTTCTTTAGAGGTTCTGATTTAATTCTGGGTGTCAGAACCCACATTCTTACCAGGCACCATAAGGAAAACCTAGCCAAGGGGTAGGTGCACTAAATCAACTGCCTCCTTTCTACCTACTGTGGTAAGGGCAGGGCAGCTCTCCCTCTACACCAGAGTCCAGCACAGCACCTGGCTCAAAGACAGGACCAATCCTGGCTGCTCACACTTCATGCAATACGGCCAGCTCCATCCCACTCATTTGCACTTTCATACTCTGGTTCTGCCCTTGCACATACTGCCTGGGTCTGGAATGACCTTCCTTCTTTCTCCTCTGTGCAAGGCTTAGGTGTCATCTCCTCTGTCCTAATCATAAAAATGCTTACAAAGTGTGTGCTGAATGAGCCAGCTATCCCAAGGGCTTTTCTGGACAGCGGTAGCTCCATCCAAAAGCATCTTAGAAGGCAGGAGAATGTGGGTTCTGGCCCATCAAGTCTCTCAGGTGGGAATGGAGGGTAGGTGGACTCTGGACCTCCTTGCTGAGGGACACTGTGTGAACTGGGGCTAGGGACACCCTTGAATGATCTGGCCCAAGCCAAAGGAGAAGAACATTGTCAAGTGAGCCGTTCCCCCTTGCCCCCCCCAACCCAGGGCCTATCCTTCTTCCTTATGGGCAAAAGATAGCCTTTTGGGCAGAGACAGGCATCTGTTTGGGAGAAAGGCACCGAAGAGGCAGGTTTTACAGGTTTATTTTGTAAAAACAAAAACAAAAGCTTAAAAAAAGTCCTTCATTTCCAACCCTGCCTGGGGGTGTGGATAGGGAATAGAATGAGCTGAGAAAGGTGCCTGCTCCTCCTGGGAAGAGTCCGACTCTCCCCCAGGAAATGGGAAGGACAGGGCAAGTCAGAGGCAAGCCCTCGCCCTTTGCCCTGCCTCCTCCTCAGGTAGCTGTAACTGCTGCAGGAAGTTTTATAAGCAAAATGTGGGAGCAGTAGGTCAAAGGCTGCCTCCCTGCACATAGTGCTTCCAGCTGCTCTGCTCAGTTCTCAGGGCCCCGCCATGGGGGACTCTCACGATGGGCAGCCAGGCGACCCAGAGGCTCAGCCTGGTGCAGCCCAGTCCACAACAGCTTCCTTAGTGCTGTTTCATACAGCAGGGCAGCAGAGAGGTCACAGTGCAGGGAAGGGCTTCAGAGACCTCTCTTGGTCATCTGGAGAGGAAATCTGGTCTCCACCTTTCTGATCTTGCCTCTCTGTGTTGAGGCTGCCCTTCTTTTCTATTCCCCATCCTTAGGCTGAGTGGAGTCCAGGACAAAGCACTAAGTGGCCATTTGCTACAAAACACCTGGAACTGCCAGAGGGCAGCTTGTGGCCTGTCAGTCCAGGCCCCCACACAGTCACACAGTCATACACACAGCGTTAAGGCGTCTGTGCTGGCAGGCATGGCCAAACTGGGCCAGCTTCTCTCTCTCTAGCTACAGAGGGGTGGGGGAACCCCATGGCTGCAGAGACAGGCTAAAGTGGGAGAAGCTGACAATGGAAGGCTAACCAGGCCTGGAGAAATTGGGAGGAAGGGAGGCAAGGGCTTTTGAGGCCTCTAACCAGGCCTGCTGGCTGCCCTTGGAAGTAACCCAACTCAGGTTGGGGAGCCCTGACCATAAACCCCCTGGAAAACAGGGGACAGAGAAAGGCGGGGAGAGTGGGGCTAGAGTACTGGGACTTTGGAGGAAGCCAGTGCTATCAGTATTTACAAGCATAAAGCCCCATCTTCTGTGCCACCTACCTCTCTCTACCCCTCCCACAGAAATGAAAGGCCCCTGAGAGCCACTGAGGAGGTGCCCAGACCTCCTCACCAGCTGAGCCCTAGGGAGAGCCCCTCCCCTCTGGCTGGCCCCATTTCTGGGCACGTTGGGAGCGTCCGCCTGGCTCTGCCTCAGTCAGAGTGAGGGGTCCTGGGCAGAGCCTGCCGCCCACCAGCCCTAAGAGTCTTTGAGCATGCTGATGCGGGCATAGATCTTCAGGGCAGGCCCGAGCTTGATGTTCATGGCGCTCATCAGGTGGTCCTCCTTGAGCAGCAGCAGAGCTTGTCCGTCGATCTCCTGCGCACGGAACTCCTCTGCAATCTCCTGACAGCCTGAGGGAGACCATCAAAGACAGCACCAGTCAGAGCAATAGCATTCGCTCATGGCAGTCTGTGTACTTTGGGGTTCATTTATTTATTTATTTATATATTTTTTTGTGGCTCTGGGGTTTGAACTCAGGGGTTCATGCTTGCTAAGCAGGCACTCTGACAGCCCTTGGTGTCCGTTTCTTGTCTAACCCTTAGAACTATGCTTTGAGGAAAGTATTGCTACTCCTCCCTTGAAGCTTGAGAGGCTGAGTGACTCAGCAAAGGCTAGGATCCCTGCTTCCTTAGGCATACCCTTGTTCAGATCTCCCCCTCCATGAACTGCCCTGACCTATGTGACCATCAGGAGGAGCAGAAGTGACAGTGACTTAATTCCAAGGCTGGATCATAGAGGGTATGGCAGATAACGTGCTCTTGCAGAGGACTTATTTTGAAGTAAGCTGACCACCATGTCAGAACACTCGGAGCATTCTGCTTGAAAGAGTCCCCCATGGAGAGTGACTGAGCCCTCTTGCCAAGAGCCAACCCCACTTTCCATGTCAGTGAGCTGTGTGGAAGTGGATCCTCCAACTCCAATCCTTCAGATGACTGCAGTCCTGGCTGACATCTCCACTGAGACTTCCTATGAGCCCCAAAGCCAGAGCTACTCAGCTGACCACTGCAAATTCTTGACCCACAGAACCTTTGGGAAAATAAGTGACTACTGTTTAAAGCCACTAAGTTTTGGAATAGTGTGTATCACAGATTTTGGTACCTTGGAGAAAGCTGTGCCACTAGAAAACTCTAGACATGTAACTGTGGCCTTGGAACTGGCAGGGGCAGTAGCTGGAAGGACTCAAGGAGGGTCAGTAACTGCCTAAGAAGCTCTGAGCTCCTAAGCAAAAGTCTGATGGTATTCAAAAAAGTGCTTAGGATCAATGGGAATTCAATTTCATATTATTTTGAAGTAGAAAATTCAGCAACACCTGGTGGTAACATGCTAAGTTTAATGTACTAAGAGATCTAGTTAAGATTTTCAGGCAGAATAATGAAGGTGTTACCTGGCTTCTTGTTGCTGCCCAGAGTAAAAAAGGGAGAAAAACAAAAGGTAAAGGAAAAGCTGTTCAGCACAAGGGAGCCAGTACTGGCTGGTTCTGGAATTCTCTAGCCTCTCCAGATGGCAAATGGTGCTTGGATTATGAAATGGTTTCTAGGTTAAGTCAAATCCAGGAAAAGTTAAGAACTCAGTGTACACATAAAACTGAAGGTGTGAATTAAATGACTTCAGGATTCCCAGTCATGTGGCATGTGCCAGTAATCCTGGCACTTGGGAGACTGAAACAGGAGGATTATGAATTCAAAGGCCAGCATGGGTTACAGAGCAAGACCCTGTTTTTATTTTTTTGGGAACTGTGGGTTGAAGTCAGGGCCTTGCTAGGTAGGCACTTAGTACTTGAATCATGTCCCAAGCCATGCATTGGTTATTTTTGAGACAGGGTCTCACTTTATTCCTGGGCTGACCTGGACTGCAATCCTATTTTGTGCTTCCATGCATAGCAGGGATGACAGTCACTTTTTGTCTGGGCTGGCCTTGAACCATGATCCTACTGATCATCGCCTCCCCAGTAGCTAGGATTACAGGCTTGAGCCACTGTGGCTGGCAGTGAGACCCTGTTTGAAGAAAGATTTCAGGATCCAGGTGTGGTAGTACAGGCCTGTAATCCCAGCTCCTTGAAAGGATCAGTTTGA